CACTTCCAGTCGCCTGTCCGGCTATGCCAGCAGGTGATTGGAATAATATTGGGACTCTTCGATATGCTTGACTGCTTCTTGCATGTGCTGACCAATTCCGATATTCTGTCCGGGTTGCCTCAGGGCTTGCCCCTGCAGGGAATGGCGGGGGCGCTGCGCTCGAGGAGGAAATGGCATTCCCCCATTGAACATAATTATCGCATCCTTCTCCCGCCGACAGAAAATCACACCATTCCGTGGACAGCAGCGAGCGCCGTGCACCGCCCTCCGCACTGATTGAAACGGCCGGAAACCTGTTAGCGGTGATATGTTTGGCGAACGGGAGCGCGCCAAGGGCTGATTTCGGCGCGCCCGGGCTCGTTGGGCACCATTCAGTCCAATGCGGCCCCGCTTCGCCGCATGTCGCTTCCACCCGCGCGCATCCGCCTGCCCAGGTCGGCCCCGCGTCGCCGGCCCCCTGCACGGCTGCGCCGCCAGAGGGCCGGCAAAATAACGACGCTGCAAGATTGGCAGCCTTCAGCATGATCCTCGAACACATCAACAACCGACGCGCCCTGCTGTTCGTTCTCCTTTTCTACTCTATATGTCTCGCGGCGAGCGAGGAAGTGGCGTGCATCGTCTACTGGGCGCGTAAACTTCCTATATAAGCTGGCTCCGTCCAGAATTATTATTCCGGGGTGAATTCCCATCGCTTTGTAGCGCTCAATGCGCTGATTCATCTTAGCTCGCACGAGCGTAGCGGCATCGTCTCGGAGTTTAGATGCCTGGTATTTGCCGCAAGAGGAACGCCAACATCTGTGGTCTCCGCCAAAATAGAAAGTCTTAATAGTTCCTGATTTGGAACGGCCTACCGCCTCATCTATTAATCTCTCGACGACCTCAACGAAAGGGGCAAGCGCCCTAATCGTTCTCGTGGGACCGCGCAACTTCTTACTTGCAGCGGCTAAGCCGGTCAAGTTGCACTGATTCCCGTCCGACATATCGCTTGCGGACCTAACTATAAATTACATAGGCGAATGTATTCCTGGGGCGATGCTACCGTCTCCCCTACGCACTGGCGCATTCCAATCGTTGTTCCTGGCCACCCCGAGTAGGGTTTCCCCTTCCGGCATTCCCTCTTACTTCCGCGCGGACGCCGTGGAAAAGCGCACGCAGAAGGTGCTGGAGACCTTCTCCTGGGCCGAGCTCCTTTCCGCTTGGGGCATAGATAGCGCGCGTTGAGTCTGATGCGAGATGAATAGCGGCAGGCCAGAAAGAATACGCCTTGTGCGGCAACTTCGCGAGTGGCTGGAATAATGCTGTCGGCGCATTTCCAGCCCTTGCCATGGCCGCCAGGTCTTTCCCAGCATAAGGAATCCACCCGTGACCACTCACCTCCGCCAGGCGAGTGATGGCCCGGCATTTCGCCCATATTCAACCATGCTGCCGAAGCATGGAGGCCCAGGTCAACCGCGGAGATGTAGAAGTTTAGTATTTCCGCGGTGCACTTTTCCCATTCGGGCGGGATGTCATCGCCCAAGGGCGCGGCTGAGCCGGCCCCTGTTCGTCTCGCGTGTTCCAGTGCGTCCCAAATGCCGCGGGCCAAATAACTCGGGCCAGGCCCTTCCTGCTCTTCCTCTTGAGCTGGGAGGGGGCGTCGGGCTCGGGCCAGGGGGGGGATCGCCTCCTCCCTCCCCGCGCGGTGCACCTGGAGGCGGACGGTAATCTCTGTCATGGCCTCCGACCCCAGCAGGTGCCCATAGGCTCAAAGAGTCAAAAAGTATGTGAACCGACTTACTTTGCTATGGTTTTCTTATTCTAGACAATTGTTCTTAAATAGTAAGAAACGTCTTAACTTTTACGTGAGACTTAATTTCTCCTCATATGTTTCAGACGTTGTCTTCACATGCTTTAGTCCGCTCACGCGCTCGTGGCCCCGCGAGGGTCGGCGACCAACTTGCGCCCCAGTGGCCCCGCGACGTGGGTCGGCAACCAACTTGCGCCCCAATGGCCCCGCTCGGGTCGGCGGCCCACTCGCGCGCCACCACCGCCGCCATCGCCGCGACGACGACGAACACCGCCACCAACACGACCACGACGACGACCGCGATGACCACGACGACGACGGCCACGACAACCGCGACGATCAGGACGACCACGACGACCACGACGACGACAACGACAATAGGCGGCCCCGCGTGGGTCGGCGGCCCACTTGCGCCCCACGCGGGCTGGCGGTCGTGACTTGGGAGGGCTGGAACGGTGAGAATATCGTGGCCCTGCCGCGCGGTTGGCGGCCCACTTGCGCCCCGATGGCCCCGCGTGGATCGGCGGCCCACTTGCGCCCCGGTGGCCCCGCGGGTCGGCGGCGCATTTGCGCCCCAGTGGCCCCGTGCGGGTCGGCGCCGCTCGCGCCCCAATGGCCCCGCGTGGGTCGGCGGCCCACTTGCGCCCCGATGGCTCCGCGGGTCGGCAGCATATTTACGCCCCAGTGGCCCCGCGCGGGTCGGCGCCGCTCACGCCCTAATGGCCCCGCGCGGGTCGGCGGCCCACTTGCGCCCCGATGGCGCCGCGGGTCGGCGGCGCACTTGTGCCCCAGTGGCCCCGCGCCGACGCCGCTCGCGCCCCAATGGCCCTGCGCGGGTCGGCGGCCCAGATGCACCCCAGTGGCCCCGCGCGGTTCGGCGGCCGACTTACACCCAATGGCCCCGCGCGGGTCGGCGGCCCACTTGCGCCCCGGTGGCCCCGCGCTGGTCGGCGGCCGACTTGCGCCCCGATGGCCCTGCGCGGGTCGGCGGCCCACTTGCGCCCCAGTGGCCCCGCGCGGGTCGGCGGCCGACTTGCGCCCCGACGGCCCTGCGCGGGTCGGCGGCCCACTTAAACCCCCGCGGCCCCCGCGGGGGCCCCGCGGCGCAGCGTGCGGCATGGCATAAGGCATAGCGTAGCGTAGCATAGCATGGAACATGCCTGTAGCGCGGCACTGCGCGGCGCCGCATTGCTTTGCATGACGGCCAGGTCGTCTGATGCAGCATTGCTTTAGCATTGCGTTGCATGGCCCCGCGTTGTCTTGCGCGGCGGCGAATCCGCTTGACGCAGCATTGCTTTGGCGTTACCAGCAGCGCGATGGCAGAGAATTCGTCCGCGCCCACGGGATCTTAAGAAGTGAAAAATTATGAAATAACTTGGCCATAAATGAATGTAATGAAAAGGGGCCTTGCGATAGTATGAGCGTACCGAAGCTGCGCTGTCACGGAATGGAATTCCGTGACAGGGCCACCTCAAGCCTTGTGGTCCTTTGATTTCACTCATATACGTCCATTCTTAGAATTATGGGTTTCATACATAATAGCTACTTCGTAGCATTGAGAAATTCTAAGAGTGGACTGGAAATTACAATCTCTACCTCTCGACAAACCTATTGCACGGAGACTCTTATATATCAACTCCAACTGGATACGAATCTGTGGAATGAAAGCCTTCTTACGAATGAATATGCAATAGCCAGGAGTTGCTTAGGGTACGCTAGTCAAATAAAACGACCTTATGGCCGTATGATGAAATCCCCAATAATCAACCATCAACAGTAAGACCAGGGTTGGGTCTTCCAGCCCTGTCACCCTGCAGCGCAGTTGCATTGCGTTTCATAGTAATCAGTACACAGCTCAGCTCCAGTACTGTTGCAGTTGCAATGCGTTTCGTAAGAACCAGTGCACGGCCAAGCTCAGATCCAGCACTGTTGCAATGCACGGCAGTGCGTTCCATAGTCGGTGCGTCGGCAACAGCGTCGGGCCCCCGCTGACACAAAACCACGCCCCCAAACAACGACGGCCATAAACGCGAAGGCCACAACGCAGCATCAAACCATGCAACGGCACCCTGGCGTCCTTGAGCGCCTGGCAAATCACCATGCCGCATCGGACCCCCCCCCAAGGTCCGGCACGGGCGCCCGAGGGTCTCGCTTCATCGCCGTGGCCCCTCATGTTCAAGCCCCGTGCCTGCAGGTCTTGCATCCTTTCCAGAAGTAGCATGGGCGCCTAATGGCGCTGCATCCTCGCCGTGCACTTTGAGCGCGGCGGCGGGCGGGAAACGCCAGCACATCCGTTTGGAGCCATTTTGGCCCAGACTTCAAGCGGCGAGGCGCGGGGGGCGCCCCCCACCTCCGCATGCCGCGGGGTCGGCGCCCTCGCCGCGGCCCCGCGGGCAGCGCGGGCGCGGCTGGCCCGCGCAAGGCGTCGGGCGCCCACGTCGAGGCCAACTTGGCAGGAGGCGACCTGGGGGGCGGCTGTCTCCTGCGGCTCTTCGACATCGGAGAGTGCGCGTGCAAGGCGAGCCACGCATGCCAAAACAAAAAAAAACTCAGAAACTCCGCGCCACATCGGAAAATGCAGATGTGCTCAAGCTGGTCGCGAGGTTCAGCGCCAAGGGAGACGGCTACGCGAAGCGCGAAAAGCTGAGGAGGTGATTTGTGAGCGCGCTCTCGGCTCGCGCGTCGGACTCCCACTTCAAGCAGAACGCGCAGCAGACGGCGGACATGATGAGCAACATATACCGATTGATGATTGCGGACATGGGAGCGCTGATTTCCAGGAGGCAGGCCTTCAAGAGCGCCATCGGCGCGCCGCCAGATCGCGCCTTGACGAACCTCGCGAAGCTAATCAACGACATTGAGACGATCCGCGACCTGCGGTACCAAGTGATCACAGACAACCTGGAGGAGGACTTCGACTTGGGCGACGACGGCTGCCCCTTCTTCGGCGACGGCGATGCGGTGGACAAGGCCCCGACGGCGGCCGAGGACCAGGCCGCGGCGGCGGCCGACGACCGGGTCAAGGAATGCGAGGATCATCCGACGACGGAGGCCCAGGCCAGCGCACTGGAAAGAGGGGAAGTCTTTCTCCGCCACACTGGCGCCTAGGTGGAGGAGGGGGCGGGACGCGACGACGGCGACGGCGACGGCGACGACGACAACCGCGATGGCGGGCTCGGGCGACGGCGCTACGTTTGCGTTCGACGTGGACGAG